ATCTCAACAAACATTACCATTTGATTTGGCTCAGTATCTGTATCCCTTTACCAGGATCCTGAGGGCCTTGAATCAAAGATTTGCAAAAATATTCGTATTCATGCCTTGTGAACAGCTGCACTCCTGGCAGAGTAATTTATATTATTTGAACTAATGATTCAAAAATACTCAACGTGCATGTGTATTACCTTATCTTTAAGGGGAAACAAACTTGAGATTAAACTATTTTTAAGAATGAGTGCCAAGCATAAGCCTCTAGGAATGAATGAGGCTGACAAAAAAAAAGACAAAGTTCCTACAATTTATGCTAATTGGTTGGGCTGAATCCTTCCTGTGGCTTCATCGGGCAGGAATTAAGATGCTCATGAAAAACAGTGTGTATAAAAAGCAACTTTCAGAACAAATAATGTTGATTCAAAGGGATTGTAGACAAAAGGAGCTGACTGAAAATATGAATCTGTGTGAATTATGGCCTATTCAGGGTTGTAGGTTCTTTCCCTGAGGTTTTACTGTAATTTATTCTGTTTTTTAATTTGTCTTTTTTTCTCTCAGCTCTATTTACTTAATTTATAGAATATTTCATATCATTGCACACAACAACTCATGCCTTTATAATTTCCATAATGAATCTGAATATATGACCATCTTATGATGTTGAAACCAGAAAAGGGGAAGTATTTTACTGTTACTTGTTTTGTGAAGAGACGGATCAGTATTGAATACTGATCTGTTAATGATGTATTTCGGTTAAACCAACCGATCATTTATCCTTCCGAACGCTTGCACAGAAGATGTTGTAGAGGAGAAGTTACTTGGTCTTTTGTGTTTTGAATTACTTGAAAGAAAGTTTGCTAGCCTGTCGGATACAAAAGGTTTTTAATATGTGATTTGCATACTTGTATCTTGGAAAGTGATCATTTCAGACTTTACATTTTCAATCATGTGAGTGACAGGTAGGTTGCATTAGATGTATTTTAGTTTGCATTTACTGTGTTTTACAGACTAACACAGGATGAATGGATTCTTGGAAAGAAGTTGTTGGTCAGGTTGTATTAAGGAACCTAAAGTCTGACAGTGTATCTCGGCCTCCTGTTGACCAGAAATCAAACAAAAATCTGATTTTTAATCTTGTAATGAAAATATGAATGTGTTTGAGATTAGGGAAGAAAACCATGTAAGGTGTTAGTGGAATGTTTAGATTTCTTTTTTTAAGTATTCCATTTCATTAGGAGCTAATAAGTGGATGAACTAAATTCCCAAAGGGGTTGTGTCAAATGAATTTCCCTTAATATTTTGCACACAACTCAAGAAATCATTGATCAGCCACATGATTTCTCTGGCATATATTGACTTGAATCAGAATGCTGACCAACGCAGACAGGACAGATTGTAATTTTCCGTGAATGTTCAATGAGATCTCTCTGTAGGGTAGGCATGGGATTGGTAGGAGTGATCAGACTTTCTTTTTCTGAAACCTGTCATTGCAAGAACACAGAAAAAAACATCTATGATGAACAGAAAAAGAGGAATAATTCTTTCTGTTATCTGCATTTTATGCCTTACTCCATTACCAAGGTTTATTGTTACCAATGCAAGAATGATCTGAAAGCTGTATGCTTCTAAAGACACCAATAAATCATACTAAAACATATGCTGGGGAAAACACAACACTGTGTATTTGTGGATTATCGGTGGACATGTCCCGCTGCCCTTAACAAGCCTCTGGGTTGCGGGTAAGAAGACGCCTGCATCAGCTGCGTTATTGATAACGAATTTACGAACTGCGACATGTGGGAGTGTACAATTTTGCTCAGTCCTCTGGAGAGACTTGAATTTACGAAAACAAAACAACACAGAGAGACACAAATTGATTTTCCGTGGAATTAAAAGGAACTTCTTGGATTCGTAAGGATTTCTTCGAGACTTTTTTCTTCTTCTCGTCTTTGGGTGGGTTTGGGGTGGGGGACAGTATGTGAATGATGGTTTGGGCTATTGTTGTATTCACCTGTGAATAGGAAATCGATTGGGTCAGTGTTGGGGGTTGGGTGAACCGGATGTGATTTTGTAACAAGCAAAAATGCCTGGTAGAACATTTTTAGTTGCTTCAGGCATCTTATCTTTTGTAAAATAACTGTGAACCTCTGTGTAATTTCATGTGTATTATATGGACAATGCACTAACTTCAAGTGGGGGGCGGAGTGAAGGGTGGGGTTACGACCCTTGATCGTCATCTTTTTACCACGCATGTGTGTGTGAGTGTTTACGCTGAGTATGAGTGTGTGGATAAAACTGGGTATTCATGAGGAGCAAAGCAAAGGTGAAAGGTCAAGAGATACATCATTTGATAGGAACCACTCCTGTAGTTGATCCACTAAAATTTTGATAATAACATTTTCAATGCTTCAACACAACTGCAAAGACTAAAGAGAGCTGAGCCTTAAATAAGACATAATGTTTATTAGAATCAACATGGAATATGGATCATAGCCAACACTCAAAAAGGAACATGTCTTGTTTACCACATCTTGACACTGACATGAAAACAGACAGCCACAGATGGAAAAGTTATCAGTCATTGTTTGGCCATTTCATCATTACAATGATTACTGAATATATTTTTTGTTCAAATGAATTGTAAATTATAAATGTATTTGGCAAGTGAATTTTGATATTCAAGTGATCAGTGATCAAGTGATCAGTTTAGTTGACATCCATTTTGAAAACAGACAAATATGAGTTTTCTTGAGTTTAATTATTCTAATGCAATGAATTTGTAAGCAAAACTGTTACATAATTTATATAAGGTTGAGAAAGTTTTATCTAACATATCTATGTCTTAACTTTATTTGCCTTTCATATTAATTATTGATAGTGCCTGAGTTGATCACAAAATCTTTTTCTGATTAATCGCTAATAATTGCCAAATTATATTATGAATGAGTATGTGATTTCATAATGTCAGCTCACTGAACTACTGAACGGATGAAACAAATCTTTAAAACTGCTTAGATATGACAAGCCACTCACACAGCTAACTATTATAAGAGCAATAGACAGCACTTATGTTCATTGAAATTTTAGTTGAGCAACTCGGGAGTTGTTTATTTGTGAATGCATGATGAATGAAGGGGGTAATGGAAAAACTGAGGAAAAAAAAAGAGAAAGAAACGTGAGTCAGCTTTCAGATATCTTGATCTGTAAATCAACAGGAATTTTTTTTCCAACATGACAATAAAAGTTTACTTTTGTTGCATTTTTGACTCATAATGTGGTCTGATTTTTACTCAATGCTGAGTTCAGGATTGAGTAAGCAATATTCTTGTTTGATTATTGAAGTCTTTATTCTTTTGTCATAATGTTTGTAACCTCTTTGACAGTGAAGTTTGCCAACTCGAAGACACCTCAGATTCACACGCTTGGATTATGAGTTGACCTTTGACCTTTATCTACTTGACACTTATGGCAGATTCTCTGCACTGCAGGAAGACCTAAGTCAGCTAAAATGTGTTGGAGACTGAACTATATAGGATGAGCATTTCCCTTTCATAGGCCAACTATTTAGATTATTTTAAAGTCAGCATGAAATCAAAATTTACAATTCTTGTTTCTATATGGAATATTGCAGTATTTAATATTTATTGTAAATGATTTATCTGTGCACATAATTATTATCATTTTTATTATTCATGTGCCGTAATTTTAATCAAAATAACTTCCCTTCCCTCTTGCTGCGACATCTCTTTTCTGATGTGTTTACTGGCGTGAGGGGGGGACAACCTGTCACTCACATGACATCACAGCAATAGCAAACCACAACTATCCAATCAATTCCCGATGGACAAAATCAAGTCCGCTCTGAATTTTTTCTTGTTTGATAAGCGTTTCACTTGGCTATACTTCCATTTCATGACGGCTTAAATTTTTTATCAGATTGACAAATATGTTCATTCAGGTTCTCGCTCTGTTCCTTCTTTCCAAATTGGGTCATTTGCCAGAATGGTAAATATTTGCATGAGCATTTAATAACATCAGATTGTACCAGGGTGTATCTGCAGCCATATGCATGCAATCTAAACTTGACAGAGAGGTTCCATCGGAATTCAACAGTGAAGTGTTCAGCAGCATGCGGTGGATGAACATTAGTTCACCCGGCGTGAGATTGGCCATGGTTAGATGCTCAGACCATATGTGTAAGGTCAGCTGATTAATGTTTGCCAGTCTGCGCTTTGTGAGATTTGATCCACAGCAAATCCAATAAAGGCAACCACTCGCCCACGGCAACCACAGCATATAGCTTTTTTAGGTTCTACAGAGTAAAAGCTAGGTGTACAAAAAGAGCTATGGATGTATAAATGAACAGAATGACAGCAGGAAGGAATGAAGACTTCAACAGCAGAGGGAGAGGGATGAGGAAAGACCTTTTTGCTGGCCTGGAGGAATCTCACCTCCTCATGGCAGGTTAAAGCTGAGCTGAGTGTCAGCGAGGTCAGATGAGTAGGGTTCTACTGCAGCCCTCTCCCATATTCACTACACTGATGTGTTATTTATTGCTATTTTATCTGTACATTACATGTATTCAGTAAAACAGCCTTGAGTTTTAAATTTGTGGAATAATGATGCACAACGTCCTTCAATAACTAACAAAATACATAGCTTTCACCTATTCTAAACATTTGCCACTGTCACAAGGTGAGCTTGTTTTCTTTATCCATAAACATAAGTCATTTTTTTCAAACTTTTGACCTTTTAAAGATTTGTATTGTGTGTACATCTCCCTTGTTGCCTTTTCATCTGTAAATTTTGCAACACATTGAACCAAAGGTGTTATGAATACAATAGCACCATCTGGTGGGAAGCAACATACAGTATTCTTGAAGACAGAAACACTCCACTCAGTATTAAAAGTAATATTTTTATTAACTGAATAAAAGAACATAAAAACATACATATTCATTTATTAAAACAGTCCTGAAAATGGATTGAAACAATTTAAATTAATTGAATGAATAAAAGCCATCATACATCACAATGGTCACTAACAAATACATGAAGTTAAAATCTATTTAAAGTACATACCGGTATACACATAAAATAAATAAATAAACATACAAAAATAATTTCATGAAATGTTATAAAAATCTTGCTTTTGTGTGAGCTGGATTAAAACAGATATTTCCGGCAGTTCTTCACTCCACACTTGCACTCCAAATGGATCCGCTTGATGGGGGATTCTTCAATTCCAGCCCGACTGAAGTCTGTGTCCATTTTTTTACTCTCTGCATCTACTGGATCAACTGCAGCAAAAATGAGAAGTATACATTAGGTATTTACAAAGTTATAAAAAATATAATTTTTCCCACATTATCATATTAACAGACCCGCCCCCAAAAATGTTATAAAAGGTGAAATAAAAATGTAAATCCTACTGGTCATCTTGTAGTCAAAGGTGAGCTCTTCTCCTGCTTTGATCCCTCGTTTGGCAAAGAATGCAATTCTGGGAAGTCGCTCATCTAAGTTCTCAACAAAAACATTATACACCTGCAAGTTTGGATCGCACTGGAAAAACAATGGTAAAGATTTATTAATTGCATGCTTTGAGAATTTACTGTTATAATGTTAAATTGGCAGCACACTGCGAAAAATTAACACATTAACTTTTAGAAACATTTCCCAGACTTGGCAACTCACTGCATTAATGGTTTTCACAAGACCTTTAACATGTTTATTCTTAAAATTAAAAGAGGTCTATAGTGCTAAATGTACTGGGTAAACATCATATTTAATTTAAATTTCATTAAAAAAAAAAAAAATACTTTCAGATTTTCAGCAGCCATTACTACAGTCACATCATCCTTCAGAACAAAAAAAGATATCCTTCATAAAATAAATAATCCTTCGGAATAAATGATACCTTCTATAAATAAATATCGGAATTTGTTCCAAATTACTTGATAGACAGCCCAGATGATATGTACAGCTAGTAAGTGCTCACGCTGTGGTTGACAAAGTGAGAGACGTTTCCATAATGAGCTGCATCGATGGTGTAGACGTCCTCCACATAGTCCAGATCAAACAGGTAGGTGACGCCTTGCTTATCGTAAACCACTCCTCTCCTCTCTGCTTCCTCTGTGGTAATGATCTGATGCAATACACAACTGACAGCAGGTCAACATTCACCATCAAAATAAATACACAGGATTCACCAACATTTACCAATTTAAAGGGTCTAATGTTGTTTCGGACACCACTGACTTTCATTGTATAGACAAAAACATTTGAAACATTCTTCAAAACATCTTTTTTTCATATTAAGTATATTATATTTAAAAAGATAATTATAATATTTTGCATTTTCACACAGGAATGACATTTTTGGGTGAACTATCCCTTTAACTTGCTTACCTCTCCGAGATACTCCATAACGAAATGGTTTTTGTAAATCCTCTGCAGCGTCCGCACTCCCCACCCTCTGCCATTTGCTGTTTTGAAGATGCACAGATCATACTGAATTCCTCTCTGCACAACCCTATTAGCACAGTCAGGACCACATCGGCACATGGAGTTACACTCGTAGATGGGTACCCCGGGCATCACTTTCACCTGCCTGCTGACATTATACGCTCTCCGATGCTTCAGCAGCCCTGGACAGCAGCCGTCGATCGGCTGAGAGATGCAGTCATCACACTCACAGCCCACTGTCACTCTATTCACATCCACTCCTTTCCCTAACTTATTGTCATTAATGTAGGTGAAGTTTTTAGGAGGTCCGTCCAGATCGACCTCATTACAAACAAATATGCAGCCCTTGTGCCTGCAGGTCTGGTTCAGGAGGTCTTCCCATTTTTTAAGCTTGATACGTTGCTTGGCTTTCTGGAGGAGGAAGGACACAACGGGGGCGCTCAAAGATGCTGAATCGAGCGGGTCATTGGCCTGAAGAAGAGCTGCCCTCATGTCTTTTCGAAACTGGTGCAAGAGTACTGGGCATTTAAGGTTTTTGAGAGGCTCCCATGTGTTTTCTGACTCTGCATAGCCCCTCCACTTTACCAGGAAGAACTCGCGACCCTGAACAGGCATATTTTTAAAGGTTACAGTGACATGAATCATGTAAATTGGAAATATAACATATGGATAAGGAGAAACAGTTGGAGCCACAAATGACTAGATCACACTTGTACATGCAATGCATAATTAATAACTCACCTTGTGTTTTTTGTAGTTGAATAGATACTCCACTTCATAATCATTAAAGTTGTTCTTTGTCACACTCAGCTGTTTGCAAACTAGTCTTTCTCTGCGGCACAGAGCCTGGAGGTCCTCCCATGAAAGTTTACAAGACATCCTGCAATCTTAAATCATATGTAAGGGTCTCCATAATGTATATTCCTTAAGAAACAACTGCAACCTTTCACACATGTTAGTGTCATGTAACACTTGCTGTACACTAGTCATGTCATTAACTATAGCTTATTTAAAAGTTCCCTAGTTAGACAACATTTTATGATTAAGCCTATTCATTGCTATTTTATATATATTTTTGTTTAGTCATTGCGCACGTGTGTTCATTGTTATTTATAGTAACACGTGCAATGTTCGTCACTATTTGAAGAAAGCAAAATAAATCCTACCTTTCAAATATTGTGCCATGTTCGCCTAAATCAATCACCTCGCCTCAGTCGCCTCGCCTGCAGGCTGGATTCCCAATACCGGATAATGAAAAAAAATGGGATTCGCGTTGATGATTGGTCGATTAGTAGCTGAGAGAAGAATACCTAATCTTCATTGGTCAAAACCATGACACAATGTATTTATGTCTAAGCTGTCAACAATTAAAAATCACAATTTGTAAGCGAAAACTCGATTTTATATCATTGTTCTTTTTTTAAATTATTATTTTATTATTTTATAACAGAATATAGGCTAATCATGAAAAATATCTCACTCCTTACTGAAAGTTATATTCACTTGTTTTAATGAACCAATCATGAAGTTGTTTTCATAGAAATTAAATCAGGAAATAGACCTTATTCAGGGTAGCGCCATATTTCCAATGAAAACGAGGCTGTACATGTCTATTGTTCAGCTAACGACGATATATATATATATATATATATATATATATATATATATATATATATATATATATATATATATATATATATATATATATATATATATATATAAACTTACGTAGACAAAAAACTCAAAGACAAAGTATTGAAAGTTTTTAGTTCTCTTACGAGAGGTTCTCTCGTATTGCGTAAGCTAGCTTACGCTGCGGGAAAGATTCATCTTTGCTGAGATATTGAAGCCAAAAAATTATTTCATAATTTGTATCCATTGACAACGCAGTTCCTCTGCGGCAGACCTAGAGCAGGCTAGCTAGCAGCTCATTGGTTCGCTCAGAGAGAACTGCTTAAGCCTATGGGAGAAGCGGGGCTGAACCCGCTTCCAATGAGAGGCGCCCGCGCGCTCATTGCGTCATGGCCCGCCAGAATGGGCGTGGCTATGGTGTATATAACAGTCTCTTCCAGGCTTATATGTTGATTCATTTCATCTTCAGCAAGCTGCACGCTTTTGCTGTCCTGAGAAAAGCCGTCGCCGTCGAGAAGGCATCACTCTAGCGAGCTCCCGGACCCTGAAGAAGCCGGCCGTCTTCGCCACCTTCAGCCGCCCTGCAAGCTAGCGCCATCCGACGACTGTATCCTTCTCTTTTCTCTATATATATCTAAAAGAGCCGAGCGTCTTTTTAAAGATGTCTCGTTTTTCCTGCGGCTCTTGCCGCGCTCCTCTCGAGGACGGAGACCGCCATGTCATCTGCGCTCTCTGCCTGGGACTCGAGCACGCAGAACTCGCCCTCGCGGATGGAGGATGCAACTTCTGTGAGAGCCTGCCGTTGTCGTCCCTGCGGGCACGACTTCTGGCAGCAAAATCCGCTCCCGCGCCGCCTCCCTCTTCGCCGCGTAAGAAGAAACGCCGCTCCCAGAGGCCGCCGGAGCCCCGTGCGGAACCATGCGGGCCGCCGCCGCCGCTTCCCGCTTCCCGCTCTCCCTCCCCGCCCCTGCCGGACATACAGTTGCCGCCGAGTGGCCGCTCTGTCGCTTCCGATGACGCCGCGGAGGAGAAGGATTCCTGTTCACTGCTCGCATCAGACAGTGAAGAATGGTCATCTCTCGGATCCACGAGAGAGTCGGCGGGGATCCGCGCCGGGATAGAGGAGGAACTAATGCGCCTCCTCTCACAGGCCGTCGAACGCCTCGGTCTCGAGTGGTCTCCTCCACCCGAGCAGGCCCCGAACCGGATGGACGGCAGCTTTTTTCATCGGCGCTCGACCCCCGCGTGCAACCGGGCCGCCCCATTCCTGCCTGAACTTCACACAGAGCTGACGAAGTCCTGGAATGCCCCGCTCTCGGCTAGAAACCGCTCCGATATATCCGCCTCGCTGCGCTCGGTGGACGGAGCCGCCGAAAAAGGTTACTCAGCCATGCCGCCCGTTGAGGACTTGGTCGCCGCACACCTCTGCCCGCCCTCTGCTAGATGGCGCTCTTCCCCCACGCTTCCTTCGAAAGCTTGCAGAGCGACCTCGAGCTTTCATGCTCGCGCCTACGCCGCCGCCGGTCAGGCCGCCGCAGCGCTACATTCTATGTCTGTCCTCCAAGTATTACAGAGCGATATTCTCCGTGAGTGGGCCGAAAGCGGTAGAAACCCCTTCCCCGCTGTCACGGATCTGAGAAGTGCTACGGACCTCGCCCTTCGCGCCACTAAAGCCGCCGCACAAGCTCTGGGGAGATGCATGGCCAGCCTTTGTGTAGCCGAGAGACACTTATGGCTCACGCTCGCCGACATGGGAGATTCTGAGCGCGCCGCGTTTCTTAACGCGCCCCTCTCCCCGACGGGCCTTTTTGGATCTGCTGTCACGGGAATCGTCGATCGCTTTTCCGAGGTCCAGAAAGCTACTCAGGTGATGAATTTGTTTCTGCCCCGCCGCGCTAGCTCTTCCGCGGGCCGCTCTCGCGAGCCTCCTGCCAGAGCTCAACCACAGCGCCCCCCTCCGCAGACTCAAACAGCCCAGCGCAGACAGGGCGGCCGCCCTCGCTCTCGCTCTGACAGCCGCCGCAGACCGCCGCCCCCACGGGGCCCGCGACCTAAGATCACGCTGAAGCCTGATCATCAGAAGTCTGCCTAGCAAAGTTAAGAAAACGACGGTGCTCTCCCGCTGCGGCCGGACCGCCGTCAAAGCTTCGCCCTCTGCCAGTCCCCGTTGTTTCGCCGACTGCTGTAGTGTTGACCGCCACAAACAAGCCGGTGTCCCAGCCCGCTTGCGAGCGACAAAAAGCCGTTTTTACGGCTACCCAGAGAAATCTCAAAAAGAGAAAATTTGCCAGTTGTGTAGAAAATGTGCCCACAATCATGTGCTCACCCATACACACAAGCATAACATATCCCGTGTCTCTATCAGAGCCCCATCACATGAAACGGGCACAGCCCGCTCTAATATCAGAGAACATAAACACGCCCACGAGCTCGTGCGCGTGTCCCCTCTCTGCTCGCTCTGTTTCACGGCCCATAGACTCCTCTCTGAGTGCAAATCCCGTTGCCACACACATTCAAAGCGCGCCCACACACTGTGTCCAGCCCGCTATGTGCAGCAATCAGGGCGATATAGCCATTCGGCCACTAGCCGCATGCTCCAAAGCGTGGGAAGCCATTCCAGGCATTTCCCCGTGGGTGCTAAGCATTATAAAGAACGGCTATCTGCTACAGTTTCGCCGCCGCCCGCCTCGTGCGCGCGCGCGGCTCGAATCTACTGTCAGCCCGCTGGCCGCCGGCACGCTCCGCTCAGAAATTGCGACGCTGTTGCAAAAGGGCGCCATAGAGAGAGTCCCACCATCTATGACCGAGTCGGGGTTTTACGGCCGTTATTTTCTGGTTCCCAAGAAAGACGGCGGCCTCAGACCGATTTTAGATCTCAGGTCTTTGAACAAAGTGCTCATGAAGAGACCGTTCAAGATGCTCACTACCAGGAAACTCCTCGCGCAGGTGCGCCAGGGGGACTGGTTCATCTCTCTAGACCTGAAAGACGCCTATTTTCAGATCCAGATAAATCCCCGTCACAGGCCATTCTTACGTTTCGCCTTCGAGGGTCATGTTTATCAATATGCCGTTCTCCCGTTCGGCTTATCCCTGGCGCCCCGCACATTCACGAAGTGCATGGATACGGCGCTCGCCCCCCTGCGGAGCCAGGGGCTGCGCATATTGAATTATCTGGACGACTGGCTGATTTTGGCCCAATCACAGACGGAGCTTCTGTCGCACCGCGCAGTTCTCCTCGACCATCTGAAAACGCTGGGCCTCTCTGTCAACTGGACAAAGAGCTCCCTTCAACCCAGTCAATCGATTTCCTTTCTAGGAATAGATTTGAACTCGGTCACGATGACGGCTCGCCTGTCTACACAGCGCGCGCGCAGTGTACAGCGACTGGCCGCCTCGTTTCAGATGGGCACCCGCACACCTCTGAAAACTTTTCAGAGGATGCTGGGTTACATGGCCTCAGCCTCCGCTGTGCTTCAGCTGGGCCTTCTGCACATGCGTCCGCTTCAGCTTTGGTTAAACAGCCGTGTACCCCACCGCGCGTGGAACACGGGCCGCCAGCTGATCAGAGTTACGCAGACATGTCTCACGGCGCTGCAGCCTTGGACAGTAGCAGAATGGTTTCGACAGGGCGTCACGATGGGGACCTTTTCCCGCCGAAAAGTCATCTCGACAGATGCATCCAACACGGGTTGGGGTGCAGTCTGCGAGGGCTCACCGGCCTTCGGCCATTGGTCGACACAGGAAAGCCCCTTACACATAAACTGTCTGGAAATGCTTGCGGTCGAGAACGCGCTTTCGCGCTTCCTCCCGCTCATTCGGGGACACCACGTCCTGATCCGTTCGGACAACATGGCTGTGGTCTCCTATCTCAACCGTCAGGGCGGTGTCAGGTCCAGGAATCTCTTCCTACTGACACACCGCATTTTAGTTTGGTCTCAGAGCCGCCTGCTCTCGCTCAGAGCGACGCATGTGCCGGGCCATCTGAACGACGGTCCAGACATACTGTCCAGGAACCTCATCTCCTCAGGAGAATGGTCCCTGAACACACAAAGGGTCCAAATACTGTGGCGGCTATTCGGCAGAGCAGAGGTGGACCTCTTCGCGTCAGAAGAGAACGCTCACTGCCCAATATTTTTCTCAAGGAGCGAGGACGCGCTAGCCCAGGAATGGCCTCGCCACCCGCTCTATGCATTCCCTCCGATCGCTCTGCTACCACAGGTAATTCAGAGGATCAGGGACACACGCCACTCGGTGCTCCTCATAGCCCCGCGTTGGGAGAGTCAGAATTGGGTTCCGGAGCTCACTCAGCTGTCACAGACAGCCCCGTGGCCCATCCCAGTCAGAGCAGATCTCCTCTCTCAAGCTCGCGGCACGATCTGGCACCCCCATCCACGGCGCTGGGCGCTACATGCATGGGTGATCAACGACTATTCGTCGATTTGCCAGAAGGAGTAAGAAACACTATCATACAGGCTAGAGCACCTTCCACGAGAAGGCTCTATGCGTCTAAATGGTCTGTGTTCTCAAAATGGTGCACCGACAAACATCTGGACCCACGGTCATGCCAGGTG